AAACCGTCATAAATGCAAAAACTGAATTTTTGAGTTGTTTGTGCCAAAATTTTCCTTTTTTCCCGTCTATTTTTATGTCGAACCGGCATATCGTATAGTTAAATAAAAATCCGTCAGATGGCGTTGGACCGGTATGCATTTACGCGGGAATAGCCATTTTATTTAACAGAAGACAGATCTATTACGAAGTACGCCAATCGCTTCAAAACCTTCAGGGAGGAAACACGTCCATCATGTAAGTAAAACTGAATTATCTCACAATAGTAGGTTCTTACTATTATCCAGATATGACATATTGGCAGATAATCCGGTTTGCACTTAACATCATTGCATTGATAGCAGCCTCAACTGAAACAAATCCGCATATATGCCATAATGCCGGTTTCCGGGAAAATTTTTCCCTGGTGAATACAGCATACTGTTAATTAAAACCGAAATATGTTGCAATATTTCAGTTTGAATTGTATGCAAACAAAGTTTCATGTGATCTTTTTGAAGATATGCCGGTTTATTTTATTCTTGCATATCGTTTGGCAAGATGTTTTACGGTTTACAAGACTCAAAATCCCCCCTTGTAGGTAGATACTTAAACTACCACATACTTATAACATTGTTGTTTGTTGAAGGAAAAGGCGTACAGGTTTTCTATTAACACTTGCGGTAAACAGTGAAAGGCGGTGGCAAGTGATTGCGCCAGATGCTTTGCCTCCAACACGAGTCAATTTAGAACGTAGTACTGAAGATGTTCCTGAAACTAGCAAGACAGTTATACAAATAGAGAGTGAAAACTACTTTTCCACTCCAGCTGGTAAGTTTAGGTTTTGTCGTTTGATTTAAATAAATCAATACTGTTGGTCACAAGCATTGGTGTAGTCAATAGGAAGAACTCAATCACACATTGCTCATCATTTTCAAACTTTACCCCATAATAGAATTATAATAGCATATATCTATAATATAGTTTTTAGGATGCAAAGTTACTGCATCAACGAACGCTGATCTGACTAATGTAGATACAGTAGATCCTATAGGGCTAATGGATGAAAAAAGCTTGTGTTTAAGAAGCTGCCTGATCCGTTGCTTCCAACATTTATGAATACAGAAAGCGCTACTTAAAATGTTCCAAAAACTAGCAAGACAGATTTGAACTACAGGCACCCTCTAATGATGAGTGGGTGGATATATACTCTCTGGGGTGGAATGTGAACTTATACAAGAAGAGACTGAAAACCACATTTCCCCTTCGACTGGTAAGTTCACACTATTGCCATTTTGATTTATAATTTTATATCGATACTGTTCGGCGTTTGCATAATTATTGGTGGCTTATAGATATATTTGTTTCAATTTTAAAATGTGAAGTTACTGCACCAACCATGACTGACTTGACTGCGGTAGATCCGGTAGAAGTTTCAATAGAGCAAATGGCACGGGAAGTCTGGTTTGGCCAACGATGTTGTTACGGATCAATTATTGGGGACTGAAAGCTACAGAGTCAACAACAATATTAACACGGACACTACTGACACGGTAGACCAAGACCCATTTCATAATTCTGATGACGATGAAGTCGTCCTCGGTTATAATACAATATATTCTGGCTCCGAAATTGACAGTGAAAGTAGAGATGAACCGGAGACTGGGATTGAAATCGAAAATGCAAACGAACCAACTAGAAAAAAGTTAAAAGAGCACTCCGAAGCGGACCGATATACTTACCTTTCCATGGCCATGAAAACGGCAAAGAAAAGTGGCAAACCTTACCTGGTTCATGAAAACCTTTTTGATATAAAAGCTCTGAAAAACTCCCTAGTAATTTTACCCATGTTGGACATTCGAATGTTGAAAGTAATTAAAGACGACAACTTATACTTTAAAACATCCTACGGATCACATGCCCGGGAGGAGGCGAAGAAAAGAAAAAAGCGGGGCAATAAGAACGTGAATCCTGTTCTGATGCAAGCTTATTTCGAGAGACTTACCATTGATGCGAAGAAGAAAAAGGGTATCATCCTAAAGTTAGGTACCGATGGGATAATACCATCAATTCATTCAGATTTCTATAACAATTTGTGAAACTTTGAAGTTACCAGGAAAGGGATAAGCAATATTTTGTTAATTGTTAAATAACAAAAAATTGTGAAGCAATAAATTAATTTTTCATTGACAAGCTTTTTTTTTCTACTGAAAAAAGTTTCTAACTGAAGAAGCCACTGTGACACAAAAGCAAACATTACACTGATTTTAAAGTCATACTAGCATATCTGGATATTTCTCTTAATTTAAGCAATTTTCGATTTATTTGCAACTACTACTTCAATACAAAGAATTCGTCTAACTTTTATTTATGCATAAAGTGGCTTTGAAGTGAACCAAACGGACGTTACAAGGAAAATATCACATGCGAAAACTTTAAAGCGCTCTGGTGAAGAATATGCATTTTGCAGATATGCCGGTTTGATTTCACAGCGACGATATATGAACATGATTTCATATGAAATACATTTTCAACACATGTAAATACTATTAAAACAAATAAAAATACTTTTAAAACAAACATGTAAATACTATTAAAACAGCGTCGGCGATTCAACTAGTATGTTAGTATTTTGATAGTAATTTGAGTATAAAATTAATTTTCTGATTCTAATTTTAAAGAACCTGTAACAAGTACTGTACTTCAGTTTCTGGGTCAACGATCCCCATCTCGATAAGGTTTTTGTCCAGTTTCCCTGACCCTTGAACAAATGCTGAGATGGCCACTTGTTTTGCTTCTGGAGATAAATGTAACTTCAAATTAACTTCTCTCCATAGCGCGTCACACACAGCTTTTGGCGTAAATATATAAATAATCGTGTAAAGTAGGCTTTACGAATGTTGCGAAGCAAAAACAATGGGGGCCCAATATTGAAACACGAGTAAACGCAGTAAAAGAACTTAAAAACGTTGCACTAGGCATTGGTGCACTGCCGGGGAGCGCACGCGCGGCCGGAGAGGGCGCTCGACGTGGGTCCCAGTACAAACTTGTTGCCCTCCTCTCCTTTTAAAAGTAGCTCCATCTTTATTAAATAAAAAAAACTTTCTGTAAAAATACAAATGAAAACTAATCTTTTTATATACAATTTTAATGTATTATATTTATTACATTAAAATTATTTTCGAAGTGAGGAGCCCCTCCAAGCAATTGCTTGATTTGCTTGTCAGTCCGGTACTGAATACATCGATATTGCTACAAATTTTGAATATCATTAATATGGAAAATGCATATTCCTGACATTTTACAAACATTTTTTACATTATCTGGGGTTGTGCAACCTAAGAATGAGCCGCGACTCAAATGCAAAATTCATATAAAATGCACTTCCCTGTTTTTACGTTCCGTTCCAGTGTTCACGTAAATGTCGTTTAACTTAAAATAGTCTGCTTTAACGTTAGTGGAGATCACCAAACTATTAGGTTATTCCTTCAAGGAATAATAGATAATAATCTCAACTTCATTCTTCCAGTAACAGTGACTAATAATTCGTTGCAAAATAGATAAACCACTATCTATTGAAGTGAATGCCATATGCTGAACAAAACAGGAGCAGAAATTTCTGATAAAAACTCATTAGCAGAGTTTGGAATGTAGTTAAATAGAATTAAATTTAAGGATTATAAGCTCAGTTGCAAATTATTTAAAACTCAACAAATATATTATTGCAATAATATAAAATTACCAAAACACAAGGTCTTTGCTTGCTTGAGTGGATGTTTCCTGACAAGTTAAAAGATGTTTCCTAAAAGAAGTTATTCAGAGGTAAATACTTCCTTTAAAATAATTTTTTTCTGGTTGTTTGTAGCATTGATATGGACTATTTGCCTTTAAAAAATGCTCTAACTCCAAATTCAATATGATTATTTTTAGGAGTTCAGTGAAGGGTTTTATTTTTAATACCTTTGTTACAATTCTGGAATAAGTCCTGCAATAAATCAATAGATTTATTGCAGTTCTGAATAGTTTTAAGGTACCAGGTATATTTTTGAGGAAATTTGAAACACATTTGAAGGAAATGAGGAATTTTGAAACACAAATGAGAAACACATTTGAGGAAATTGCCACAAGAGATGGTTGTAAAAAGACAATGATGAAAAGTAATATGAAGGACTTTGAATTTCACCTCAGTTTAGAATTTTTTAGGTCTGTAGTTGTCTGAGACCATGCAGGTCTTGATCATTTTCCAATTCTATTATTATAATTTCATTTCATATTTGTTTAATAGCCCCACTAACTGTTAACATCTTTTAGAAGGAATTACAAATGGATAAATGTATGAATCATTTCTGAAAACTTTCAAAATTATAATCCTGGTTTATTTTAAAGTAAAGATTACAATCATGCTTAATCATGACAAGATGTTACACGAAGTTTGATGCATGATGCATGCAGATGCCCAACAATAGATTAAACCAAATCATATGAAAACCAGACATCACAAATCTGAATAAAAATTGTAATTATTTACAAGAAGTAATTTTGTAGAATGTCTGAAGCATTAAAAATATATACAACAGTCTGTACTGGACCTCTCATTACGCTGTTATAAAAAATTAAGTTTCATAGTTTTAATTGAGGCATTAGATGCTTAACAATAAAATAAAAATTTTCTTAATTTTTTCAGTGTAAACAAGTGACTTTGATAAGTGTAAACATTTCAGAACTTCACAAAAACTGTTAATGTAATAACTTTAGAAACTACGTTATATACTTACCTTTGGTACATATTCAAACATTTTCACAAAGTAGGCTACAATCCTCAGTAAACAGGAGTACAGATTTGGAAATATTACTAGTATCCCCCTTTTCAATTAAATTGTTGATGCAAACATTTGAGTTCTGTTCCTCTTAAAACTCATCATGTAAAGCAATACAAAACATAATATATTCATTTTATTCATGGCATAAGGAGAAGGAAATAAAAAGTAGAAACATTAAAAATCAGTATGAAACACAAAATGTATTTATGATTAATAAATTGCATAATTTTATATCATTCCACTTCCTGGATAACTACTTACATTTTGTACCCAAATAAACATTACTTCATTTTTATGAACTTTTAAACCTGCAGGTACAGGGTCTTTTGAGTACAAGTAACATTTGCATTAATTTTTTTAGTTATAAAATTCATCACATTCTTAACACAACTATGTATCATAAAAAAAAGCATTCTTCCACTAATTCACAGTGATTGACACCTTGCAAATCACAGTGATTCCACAAATACAGCAAAGCTATGTCATTATCCTATTCTGACTACAATAACGCCTGACAGTAATAAATTAAGGTTTTTGTTAAAAATACCTGAGACGGAAAATAATGAATAATGTGAAACACTTTTACACGAAATGTTTACAATGAACAACATTCTTTTATCTTCAAGATAAAAATCTGATGTATAGATTCAACGCAAGTACTTCCATCTACACAATCAATTTGAGTGTATACTTTCACTCTTCTATCCCAACCATGTTAACCACAATGGTAATAAACAAATCATTTCATTCCACCCCACAAACTCTGCATCAATCAAAATAATTAATTGCACTGACTTCACTGCTGTTCATTGTGTTTGTACAAATCATATAGTAAAAATATCAAAAGAAATTGAAAAAAAAACTTGGGGGGGGGAGGGGAGGCGATGGACAACAGACTTCCTTTCAACATGTAAATCAATTTCCTTTCTAATGTTCTACTTATTATTAATGACAATACTACAATACAATTTACTCGGTAAATACTCAAAATAGTACACAAACCAATATTCATTTTCAGAATTCTTTTATATTGGTGCTTAATACAAAAATATAAAGAGATACGCTCTACAGCCAGAATACTTGGCAGGAGTATAAAGAAACTACACACATTAAACATCAGCTGTGTATATGCTCACTTACAGTTCGTGTTTGTTTTTGTAATTTTTTTTTTTTTATATTTTTTTTTTAATATATATCGGAAGTAAAGACTGAACCATACTCAGAGAATCATTATTAATCATTACAACGGTTAAACACTGTATTGCACAAATCACACTGTCAATCTCTTTTTGTTCGCCATGAATGAGCAAGTTGCTTCCACGCTATTATTTTATTCTACTTTTTCTGAAACGCTGCAAGGGTATAAAAAGTACGAACAGTAATTGTATTCAAATTACCTTATAAATAATATAGAAAGATTAGAAAGGGAAACAAACATTAAAACCTACGAAGATGACAAGATACACACAGTGTATAGATTCATCGTATCTGTTCCAACTCTTCCAAGGCTCCCTTCAATGCAATTCAACAGTCAGCAGGTGATGTGACCATTATTTACAAAAGAGACATCCAAATCGGGAACAGTTATAAAAAACACACATACTGGCATTGTGTATACTTCAGCATGGCTCAATAAGTCTGAAATACACAAGTACAATACAGATAATAAAACAAACTAAACATTTAGCATTCTTTGTCGGAATGTGAACACAACTTGCTACACGTTATACAGACCCCAGCAAAATACACTCTTTAGGTGTCATGAGCATTTACAAAAAATGTTTAAATCCAATCAAATTGTTCACCACAATCATTCCCAACTCGCCTAGGCTCTTATAACAAGACTTTTTAAGAATTGCTTATCAGCAAAATAATTCAATAAATGGACAATACATCACATGCACATCATAATAGATGCATTTATGATTAGTATTACATCAATTCACCTATACTTCACCCTCCATTGGTGGCTTTGTTCATTAAAACAAAGAAAAATTGGGAAGACATTCCACGACGATTCAAATAAATGAAAATTTAAAAAAAATATATTCTACAAATTATACTAGGTACGAATATGCACCAAAGAATAACTACGGAGACTGAAATCCTATGAAACAATTACAGATGTAGTTATTTACTTAAGATTTCACAATCATAAAATATTCTTTATAATGTAAACCACAAAACAATAAAGGATGTAAACCTTTCCCTGTCATGTTCAACAATACTACTTACAAACATGAAAAAACTGAAAATATATAAAAAAATTATGGGATTCTTATTACAAGAAAAAAATTGAGAGCTGTGATCACATGGTAATACATTTTTGGTAAATTATTTATCATTCTTTAACAATATGGAAAATACCAATTAGAGAACACTTTGTACATTTCATTGTATTTTTCTGGATACTAAGGACTACAGATTATTCCCACACTCCATTTAAATTATACTCAACATTGCAATTATAACAATTATGTCAACTCGTTACGATCTTTTTTCATTGAAAATTCACCAATTAGACATATTTCCACAACTAATTAACGCTCATCAAAACTTACTTGAATGTCACATTTAATTGCAACATAAAAATTACTACAGAAGAAATCGCAACTAATTACAAAGCTGTTTTTCATTATATGATTCCAAGAAAAAGGATGACAAATATCAAGATCAAAAAATCAGTTTATGTGACAGACCAAGGAAAGAATGAAAGGAAAAAAGAAAACGGTAAATTAATCATAAGTAAATAATAACTCAATTCCATATAGGGCTGGAGTTTAAAATTCTAAAATGCAAAAAGAAAGATATTCTTGTATTTATATTGGCAGTAATTTTAACATAAAGGGGGGAAAAAAACACCCCTTCTACGAAATCATTTCTCAAATTGTGTGGCTTTCACACAATTTTATTGTCAATCAGAAGAATTAAAAAAGTTCCATAACTGTCATTCCAAAGTTTCATGAATTTCTGCATTCTTCAGAAAACACTTTTCATAATACAGGAATAACTATGTGGAATACAATGGTGAACAGTTTGACTTGTCAAAATTGACTAATCCTAAGACATTTCATCACATTACACTTTTTTCTCCAGTCAAAGTGGAATTACTAATGCAGAAGACTCACTATCATGGCATTGAGTTTGTTCATATTATAGGAATATCATTTTATACACACCTTCTGCCTCAAAACATTTGGTTAAAATCAACGACTTCACATTTTATGTTACTGTTACCACATGCAATATATTCTCCCAACTGGTCGATGAAATTGAAATGAGGTTCATAACACTTTGCCAAGGATGCCAACATGTCAATTATTCATTATTGAAATTAATGCTGTTTTCAAAGCACCTTGACAGTCACTAGTTATGGTTTAAAACATTCTACATACAGACTTCTCTCAAATATCCATTTTACAACCCTTTTATATATGCAGATAACAATGGAGTCATGAAGGCTATCTACAATATGACAAAAACCTGATAGTAATGTAAAATACATAGAAACCAATCACATAGTTCCTGGAACAATGTTCTGATAGTATGCCTTCTGTAACTACTGTACAATATATAATTATTAAAATAAATTAACACACAATAACAAGCATAATAAACAAGAGTAGGATACTACTATGGTTCTTACAGACACATTAGCAATAATACCATATTCAGAAAATCAACTCCTTTCATTACTTTTAAGTAAATAAATATCTATAAATCATTAAAAAGTGTTTGAATTATATACATATACAATTAACAAATTTGGCAGCTTTTTGTTTTCCTGCTAAATTTGCAATCTCTGGCACATATTTTACCAAATCTGAACACTAACAACAACACAAATTGATTCCTCTCATAGGAAGAATTTTAAACCAAAATACATTTAATTTAATTAACAACAATAGGTTTTACAAGTAAGAAAATTTCTTGACCTGTTAGCCTAATATTGAAACTAAGTATAAATCTGGCATTACGCAAGTTTTGTTAACCTACATATTTATTGTGCATGTGAAGTCTGGAACGCTTTATCTTGGGCCTTGAATGACAGAGCCATTAACACTGCTCTAAGTACATAGATGCCCATCAGCGACTCACGTTTTGAAGTTACAAGGCTGCTCTCCTGCAACAAGATAAATCTTACTGGGGAACACGAAAAAAATATCAAAAGGAATGTTCTATATGAACATACCAACATATGTTAGCACATGAAGGATATTAGGTATGAATGGGAAGGAGACAAAAAAGAAGACATAATACTAAATAAATACATTTTATTGAGGGTTTTATGTTATTTTAATAATGATACAAATGTACAGAACTTTCCATACCAAATTAAAGAACATTATTTACATACAAAATTAATAATTGGTAAGTTTCATTTTCCTTCCTCCAAACTACAATATTTATAACTGATATAAAGTAAGGAAAACCTGTCTTCTGAAATTTACAAATAAAAAAACTATAACATAAGTATAAACTTTTATACACAATACTCATGGAGCAAGTTGGTGTTAAGAACTTACCATCTTTTTACTGGAGCCTCTGTGTGGGCATACTATGAGAACAGAACAGTATGATCAGGCAAGCCTACAAACATTTCTTTAACATTAAGAACTATCAATCAAAATTTTAGATTTATTTAAGCTCCGTACATAAAAATAAAAATTTGATTCCACCACGCATGTTTTACTTTTGGAGCATTGTAAAGGAAATTATTAAAGATCAAAAAACAGCCTCATTTTAAACATACCCATGCACTCACACATTCAACTCAGTCACTTCTTGTTTTTAAAACCAGCATATGGCTGGAATCAAATACTGAACATACATTAATATTGAACAATAACATACTTGTGGATAAAAATTACCATGATGAACATTAATGGTTATTGCACCAAATAAAATGTTCATATGAATCTACTTACTATTTCAAGCAATGTTGAAATCCAATGGTCATGTACATACATATTCCTCATGCAGAGAATTAGCCTTTGTTGGTTCCTGCAAATGATGAAATATTTTAATGCAAAAATAGCATTAGAACAGTACAAAAATCCACGTGAACTTCATCATAAGCTATAAAGAATAAAGAATGCTGTACAGTATGGCTACAGAGTACCATATACAATTGATTTGTTTACATATCATGAAGGTTGGTGAACTTGTGCTGGGTCTATAGTATTCTCTATTGTTTTGTCATTCCACCAACTAAAGATTGTTCACCTCAAAACAATTTATGCTGTAAGAATTCAAGTAATGTTCACTTCCACACTTGTTAAAATAATTTTATCTCGATTATTTCTTGATTTTAGCTGTTTAATTTAATGAATGTGTGATTTAAGTGAACATAACTGATGATTATGAGCTCTCCAAACCCCTAACGGCTGACACTTTCAAAGTGATCTCTGCTTGAACTCCAGCTCATCTGGCTGGTGAAAGAATACACATCGCAGAGCAATTGTCAACTGTTTTAGAAATAGATGCTCTGCCTAGGACCGAGTATATGAGAGAAGGGAAAACATGTAAAGGAAGGATAGAAAGGAGAGGGACAGAGATTAGAGAGGCAGAGGGTGGGAGGGAGAATGAGAGAGGGGGATAAACCAAGTTTATCAATACCATTCCACAAACAAACAAACAAACAAACAAACCAAAAAACTATTCTAAATACATGTTTTTGAGTTGTAAATAAATTACAAATTTCCTAAACAGACAAGGAAACAGTATTATAAGTGATAAATGACAAATGTCCCTGTAATACTAGTCTGCTTGATATCAGATGATTGAAACTGAATACAATTTCTCGGCTCATTTACTTATTCTGATTTCAAAACTACTCTTTTCTGTCATGTACAGTTTCATCACAACATAAGCATACATATCTAAGAGACTTTCAGAGGAAAATTTCACTCACACTTCCAAAAGTCGTTGGGTTGACAACTGCAGAAGTCGTCAATGCCAATGCATTGTTGTATTTGCGGAAATTTTTTTGTGGTTAAGCAATGAGTGGACATAATTAACTTTGTGAAAAAAAGCTTGTTATGTTTACTTTAAAGGAAAACTTGGAGACCAGGACCGGGTATGCACACCAAAGAAAGTATGTCAATATCGTACTGAAAGATTGAGATCAAAAGGAAAGAAAAAATGTAATCCATTTGCAATTCCTGTGGGTTAGAGAGAGGTCAAAGACAACCTTAATGATTTTTATTTGTTTAGTCAATGTTTAGAACTGCAATTTGAAAAATAATAAACAGGTTTTGTGCCCACTATGTATTTTTTCTGCTATTAGAGCAGTTCCACAGAGACAACCTGACTGCTCCTCCTCCTCCTGTAGTTAATTTTGAGAACATGGCACAAGATGATCCTGAAAAACTCTAGTTCCAGGTCTAAATTAGCCTAAGAAATCTAAATTGTCAAATTGCTTGGACCTCGGCTAAAAAGTAAGAATCTTCTGGAACCAGGAACACACTTTTCAAGAAATAGGTACACAGAATTGGAATTAGTTCTTTTATTCCCACAAACCAATTCCATAATTTTCTGCAATAATATCAACAAGTTAATAAATTTCAATGGAATTGAACATGATCCTAATCAGTGGAGAGCAATTTCAGAAGTATCCAAGAGGAGTTTTAAAGGTGGATTACTGCATAATGAGAATATTTATGCAACTCTTCCTGTGTCTCATTCAACTCAAATAAAAAAGGCATATGGGAATATGAAGCTATTGTAAATAAATATTACAAATGAGCAACAAAAGTGAGCTATCTGTGGAGACTTCAGGAATGCTATAAGGCAAATATTTGTAGGTTCGGTGGTGTACAGGTTAGCGTATCAGACTATTAACCCAAGTATGCAGGTTCAAACCTGATTGAAGCTATGGATTTTTTAAGGTCAAAAAAATCCTTTGTGTGCTTTCCTCCCTTCAGAGGGGAAGTAAAGCCCACTATCCCATGTAGATTTACTGCAAGTGAAAGATCCTCAAGCCTAAATGAAGCCTCTGAGCAAAATTCAGATTTGTCTGTTTTGTCGCCCAAGTCATACCTCTTTTCTCTAGGTGAAATCCTAGAGGAATTTGCTTGGTCAGACAAGAGCAGGCCTCATGGCTTGATTCTCACCATGGATATACGGCAAAATTGAATTCAATAATAAATTCCATACACAAAGATTCCTTGTTTTCTGTGTGAGAGATACAGAACTAGGCAAAAAAAGAACATTGAAATCTGAGAGTTTGGTCAGAGTGGAGAAACCTACCCAGAACAATACATATTCTACATAAGTCACTTGTAGGACTCAACAAAGTTTTACTTCCAACCCTGCACATCAAATATGGCTTGATGAAGCTGTTGGTGAAGGTTCAATCTCAAGATGCGTTCTGCTTCAAATATCTCTCATTGCAATTTTCATTTATCACACAAGAGACATTGAAAGTCAAGATTTTTTATTGGACCACACATTTGCAAAATTGATGTAAGGACAAAGAATTTGAAAAAACAATGAATGAGTGTGAAAAGAGGCATTGAACTCCTTCAGATCTCTCACAAACTTTTCAAAGAGTAAGAAAAATTCAAATTACAAGACTACTGTGGAAATAATATAGGAAAACTTCATCGGGATAAATTGAAAAAACGCAGACTAGTATTTTTCTTAGTTGATCTTGAGAATCTCATTTATTATGTTATTACTTTTTAATTATCCTTCAGAGATTAATAAAGTATTTATGATATATAACAAAACAAAACAAAAAAATGACCCTTCCCCCCAAAAAACAAAAAACAGACAATATGACTAGAATTGCTGGCTAACTTTTCATGACATAAATGTTTTGTCAGCAGTCTACTGCTTTAGAGAGAAGTGAGAAATTTAATATTTCACATGAGCTGAAAGATCTGTCAATCTCGGTTATTACTCCTCTTCTTACTTCTCTTTAAGGTCTACAAATGTATCTGCAAAATTGTAGTGGTTTGCCTGTAAGCACGGAAATGGTCCTGGAGAGTGCAAGGATATTGGCATTATAGTAGACTGGTAAACACACTCCAATAACATTTTTCTACAAATAAGATGTATACTAAAGGATTCTTCTCATCATTTTCTACATTTGGGTATAATACAAGTTAAATTTCTCCTGGATGCTGAGGAATGAGCACCTGTCTTTCTGACTATAACATGAATTTTGTAAAATCGTGCACACCTTTTATCCTACTGTTTGTTGTTTATTCTTTCCCTTCTTCATACATACTGATAAGCATGGAAATGAATCGCAGATCTATCTAATAATTTGGTTCCTTATTTGTGTATACCTTTTCAGAGTCCTTTGATTTTTATATTGTTGGTAGATGATTCTGGTCTTTGGAAACTTTTCATTGAGCTCTCCTTTTGCTAGGAGTAGAGCAGGCTCAGAGGGTTGCTATTATGTTATAAAATGAAATCTGTATGCTGATTGTTTCTGATCTGTATCTGGTTTGCTGATCAAAGTTTTCTGTAACTTCCAGTCACAACTTCTAATTTTCAAATGTTTTTGACCACATTTTTTTGATACTTTTATTCATCATTCAACTCCGCACAGTAAAAGGGTGAGGAAGAGATTTTCGAGATGTAGAAAATGTGCGTAGATTATAATTTTCCCCATCATGTCTAGTTTTCATTGTTTTGACAAAAACTAAATTAAATCATACTTAAATTGTGATAAATCACATGAAAGTGTAAATAGAGGGAAATTACTTTTGCTTATATAATAAAGTAGTAATATTTATGAAAAATCATTGGGTATCTTGAAATATTATGTCCCCCCCCAAAAAAGAGACTGCAATTGAAACCATTTTAAATTAAAATGAACACTAAAACTAGCTTCAAAACCTTTCCCTAAAAACCAAACATGTTACTTTTTAGAAAGAGAGTACAAATAGTAGTAACTAAATTATACGCCTGTAAGAGAAATAGCATGGAAATAATGACATTTACAATCTGTAATTGATTTAACTGGAAAAACATTCAATAAAGGCATTTAAAAACTTCAGAAAATTGTTTTTTTAATAAAGATACAAACAAATTGCCAGACATTGACAAATTGCAGACTGAGTGCATTATTACTAACCAGAATAACAGCAAAATTGAAAGTGAAGTGCACATTTATATAGTTGCTTATTACTGGTGATGCATCAACAATATGTGTAACATCTAAAATGTATGCAACCCACAAAAAAATTATATTTTCCTCCTTACTTCAAAAATAGAACTAATGAGGATCATTTCCATAGCCATCTGTACAAAACTTTGGTTTAACAGCATTGTTGATGAATAGAAATCTTTACTAGTAAACATTGTGAAGTCAGCAATTCATTGTGAAGTCACCAAAGTAAATATTTACTTGCAATCAAATCTGCATCCTTCCCTATCTTGATGTATACATACACAGGAATGAAAATGATACCATAGTATTCTATAACAAATGACACCAATTTTTAACTGGCCGCTCATTGCAACTTGGGCATAAATTATTTTTTGTAACATCTTCACATCTTTACAGAAGTAATGGTGAACATCTGTAAGTAATGGGTAAATCCTGGCAACAAAGCAAAGCACAAAGCTGTAGACCATTCTGCCCATTCTCTTAATGATGCAGTTCGCCACGATAATTATGGTGTACGTTTCCTCTTGGGCTATGGGTGTTTTTTTTTAAAATAAACAGAGGCTCCATGAAAAGTTATTTTCTCTTTCGTAATCTCACATCTCTATATAAATAAAAAGAGAATGGGCGCATGTCTGTCGCATGTAGGCACAAAAACTATTTGAGTTCATTTGCTATTTGCTTTTCATACATTGCCCTTATCAGAATTGAAGGTATTGAAAGAGTGGTTTGCATTAAATTGGACAAGTGGGGAAGGGGTTCGACAATACGCCATTCCCACAGGATCTTGCTTGAAGTGAGATCTATAGATATCTTTTTGAACTACACACCTCCCTTCAACACTTCTGAATCTAATACAGGTGGTGCACAAGATTATTCAAATATTCAATTTTTAAAGTGTAGTGTAATTAAAATGTAGTTAATCTTCAATGAATAATTTGATTTTGAACTTGAATTATATTTATTTAAAACACTGCAATACCAAAACATTGAAGGGTCCGCTAGTTTGAGTAATAAAATATGTCACCCAAATGTGACTAACATGGTGCCTTGCTAATGTGGCTTCAATTCAGGGCCATGTCCGTCAAATATGTCTGGCATTTTAAAAATGTGCACATCTTAACCACTAGAGTGGACTCTGACAATAAGAAAACGAGGTGAATGCATATATTTGCTATGATATTTGCTATGCCCTTTTGAGGGAAACTGAACAAAGAGCATTTCCAAGGACAAAAAAGTAAAAAAAAAGAACACCTATTGACTTGATTGTGAAATTAGCCATAAGTGTTTTGAATGCTTTGGAAAATCTATGAAGCTTATGCCCTAAGACTCTGGCTGCTGTGATTACGGCTGTATCCACAAGTGCTGGCAAGTGACACCATCAGGGACAATGGGAGTTGGGGGACAATTTAAAAAAACGAAGAATAGATGCAAGAATCATTTCAATTGACAATCTTCAATGGAATTTGCTTGAACTAAAAGAGGGATATATACTGGTATGCATTGGAGTCCTCCACAAGACTATTTTGCTCGAGCACCACAGCAGGTAAGACAAAATCCTCTAGATTGAAGGGCAGTCCAGTACAATAGGGTTTCAGTCACCACGCCATTAGCAGTAAGAATTCAGCCAAGAGAACAAAGGGCCTAACACTCAATTCTCTTGACTCCACCAGTTGCATTATGATTAGTGTAGAGTGCAAAGTTAAAATGCAGTGAAGAAAAAACAAAGATATCAAATTATGTCAAAAAGAGGGAATGAAAACTGAAGTTTACATTAGGCTGGCAGAAAAAGCAAGAAGTTTGTATCCCTGCTGCCTCTCATAAAGTGCAGCTGGTAAATTTTAAAACAGAACACAAGAGCAGTATTTACTCAGAAACAATTAATAACATTCTTCTGATCCATAGTTTTGAAAAGATTGCTGTATATCATTTAATAATTACATTTCTTTTGTAAGTATATTAATTTTAATATATTTTGTATGAATAAATCTAGCTCTAATAAATGGAATATTAACTTGAAAGTTTCTAGTGTTGCTTACATAGATAATAGGTTCATTTTGCAATGCTATTGCACGTCACTTGTCCCGTATTCCACAACCTGGTGAAACGAAACCACCACTGGTCTCTCCTGTGTATCAGCCCACCATTAAGTGCATTATACTTGAACTAAAAGCACATGAAGCTTGAATGTTTGAACTAGTGAGCCTTGTAACTTTTCAATTTTCTGTATTAGGATTTATTTTGCCACCTATTTTGGGAGAGTCCCACTTCTTTTATTATACACAAGCAGTTACTGATACCAAAGCAAAAAACTGGAACATTATTCTTCCCTTAAGATTTGAAATATCAAGGTTACATTATACTGTTTCTCATTAAACGGATCATATTCCTTCTATAGTATATTATAAGTATACTTTAAATGTACCCCAAGGTACATTTGTATGGAAAATAATTCAGTATCAGATCTTCACAAGTACTTGTGCTGGGATATTGGGTACTATTTAAAAGATTTAAAAAGAGTAAAATAACAAAATAAAATTACACATATTATTGCAAAATAATTCTCACCTTTTTGGATACAGCTTCAGGTTCAGGTGATACACGAGCTTCTTCCGCCAGTTTCAGACGACCACTAACAAGAGCATGATCATCAGCTGAATTGGAATCATCACCACAATGAACAACAATAGAGTTGCTGGGAGAGTCATCACCCTAAAAAGAAAAAATCCCTCATAATGAATTGAATTAAAATTCTTAATAAGTTATTTTCTCAACAAAAATGTAATAAAAATAATATTTCCCTTATTATCTCTTTTATAGATATTCTTCTTCATCATCAATGATACACAAATCTGGATTTCATACATATTAATCGATGAATTGTAAAGGTAATACTTCCCATAACATAATTCTTTCAGACAAATAAGCAAAATTCAATTTCTATAGTGAAGTACAAGTATCAAATAAATCACTACTTCGTTCTTGAAAGTAGATTTTAGTTTCAGTAAGTCAATACTGCCCTACAAAGAAAGCAAATACAACACAAAAGCACTTTATACAGAATGCACAACACCATCCGAATTATGGAACCCAAAATTTTATACATAGAAACCAAATCTGTTTGCCATTGAACTGGGGAAAGTTTGCCTTCATGGAGGGTCAGTTCCTCCTATTCTATTAGCAATTACAAATTTAACAAAACACAAAAAGAGGCCCAAAGTTTCCAAAGTGATAAATTAGAGAAAAATTGTAAAGAATCTATTTTTCCAATAAAAAGTAATTTTGACAGATAAAAAACAACACAAATTTTACAATACAATTGCTTGTAGTTCAGAATCCATTCAATAACCAAGGATGAAATTTAGTAGGCACAAAGAAAAAGTATCTAGGGGTATTTTGGTTTTTGAAAATCGGAAAAAGGTGACATATTTTCACAATCGATTTTTACACATGTATGTCCTCTATGACCTTGCAAGGAGACCTTAAAATTTTTGTTGTGCAATTTTTCTGTTTCTTGACATCAGTAGATAGTGTTAAAAAAATTTAAACGAATTTTACGTCAATTTTTTTTCAGTCCCAACCAGCCAATATACACAGTCTACCTCTTTATAGTGTTTTCCTCTATACAGTGTTCAGAAATCATGATCCCTCAAGAAACGTTATATAGCGGTTTCACTGTACCCTGGCAACGCGGAGTAGTTCATCTAGTACAATATAAATGGATTTTAAGGATGCAAAAAGTTTGACATTTGTTCAAAAGTTATGTCTCCCATTTTCCTGGGATCTCCAAATTTACAGATTGTTTCCAATTTTAGCTTTCCATGTCTGCTGACCACCTTAATAAGAACAAAATATTTTAAGAAAAATAACTCACCAGATTTGATCCATCATCAGAACCCATTTTTATTTTCTTTATTGAATCTGGTACAGGGGAAGTGGAAGGGCGTTTAGTGCCAGCTTGTACTTGGTGATCTCCTGCTATGGCAATATCAGCAGCAGTCACTGCCTCAGCTTCTGCAATTGCTACAGCAGCAGCCAAGGTTGCACCATTACGTTGTTGAAGAGGAGTACTTGTAGGAGTAACGACTGACTGGGGGGCACAACAAAACCATTATTGTAATGAACAAGATAATCTGCATTAACAGGGAAACCTTAAAGGATACTTACCTTCCTCTCTCTTTTTAATATACTTGGGGAAACATACAAATGCAACTGTTTTCTAGAAAGAAAAAACAAAACAGAATAAATAATTAAAAATTAAAAATAATAATTCATGACAATCTCTGCATATACTTACTTCTTCACATGTCTTGCTTCTATTTTCATATCATCTTTCAACATTTTTATAATTGCTGCTTGACGATGCACTGTAATATAAAATTACAAATTATTTATGTTTAAAATAAAATTTCTACAGTATTTTATTTCAAAATTATAATAATGCCTTGATTGATAATACAATTAAAGACATGTCATGAACATTCATTTAAAACATATCAAAGCCATTTCTGGTATTTCATATTTCAATAATTATCTTATGAGTGGCAAGTAAGCACAAACTAACAGCTATTTAGAAATTTAAAAAAAAAAAAATATATATATATTACATTTCCTTTTGCGACATTAATGCAATGTAATTACCTGAATTTGTGAAGGACTGAATGTCATAGGTGAGATTTACATTCAAATTTTCAGTCTTAGCAAATACCAAACCAATGAACCACATAGTGCAGAATTTATTGGGTTCAGGGTCTATGGGAGTGAAACCTTCTGGGTTGACATGGGCAAGAGTTATATGTTGGTTTCGCTCTAAATTCCCAATTAAGTGGCGTACCTTGGACTCAACAAGCCCACACCATTCTAGTTGATCCTCAGCAGTTGCTGAGCTAGCCAGTAATACAATAAAGTGCCTGGAAGAAGAAAAAAAAATCATTAAATATTACAAATTCATAAAATACTACTATTCTGTACAGGTAGCACATACAACCTTCTTACATTATTTGGAACAACTACACAATATTATATACAATACTATTTTCCATGAACCTACAAAAGTGTTTTCAACCAGCAAAAATATTTTTCTGTGTTTGAAGATTCTAATTTGGTTCTTTTGAGTCAACCCAAGCACTTTCCCTTTTCACTACACTGTAACAGCTAAACTCAGCTTCCTAAAGCTTACAAAACTAGTGGTTCCCCACATTATAACAATTTTTTTATTATTTATTATTATTTTGTTTGTTTGTTTTTGTTTTTTTGATTGTTTCAAAATATACATAGACAAAAATTAAAAAATATATAAAAATTGCAACAGCTACTGCAGACTCATCTCACTCTAACAAGTATTTACTAGTACAATAGCATTATAACTTCAGTGTAATTAAGAAAGGAACTCAAACTTATATTAAATATATCACAGGGGTAGTTGTTTAGCACTCTAGATGTTCCGTCAATCAGTTATCAGTATACATATGAGTTTGTTTCAAAGCAACCTTAATATTACATCTAGTTGCCTATTGAGGAAACCTGAATAGGCTCAGGTTTCAGAATTCAATAGCTCCTACAGAATTGAGCCAATATTTAAACTTATTTTTAAATATGTTTAAATATATATCAATATTTAAACTTATTTTTTGTACATCAACATTGTAATCGACTTTTTCTGTCTGTTCATAATTGGGCATTTTACGGCAAAAATTATGACAAATTAGTATTTATGGCACAAAGGGAAACGAAGGAGCTTATGTTTTATAGGAAATGTGATCCTTATACCTCATAGGAAATTTAGACCCTTATATCTTACGGAATTTGATCAGTAGTGAGTTAAGATATTAAAACATTGTGTGTTAACGTTTCAGAATATTTTTATTAAATCCTCTGGGATCACTACAATATATACTATATTTGATTACAACCTCTCAAAAACATAAGTGGCCAGACTCCGAACATTAAGTGGAATAATCTTCAGCACCCAGATTCAATACAATTTTCATTCACTTGCTATGATGACTTGGCCTGAAATTGAAGTGGCTAGGATGGACCCTAACCACTCCATGTGGAGTTGTATTAAGTCTTTCCACTTTGTTTATTCAGAGGTTGTAAACATATGTATATCTTGAAGTAATCCTCAAGGACGATATAAAAATATTCTGAAACTTCAGCAAGCTATGTTTTAATGCCTTAATTTGCTCAAAACAAATCCTGTGATCTTCATGGTCCTTCTCCAGTCATGGTCGTAAATCAACAATGCTTATATCTTATATTAATAAGATTAATACTCATGTATGCATCTGTTGTTGAAAGGGTGGAGACAATGCAACATACATTTCATTGGACATTTCATTGGACTGCAGCTTGGACTGCAGCGACAAAGCAACCACACTGATGATGTTATCACTTGTTTCTCTTAGAAATCATATAGAATGATAAAACAGCTTTTTCCATTTCTATTCTGTTTTATTGAACAAGTTATTATTTTTATTTCCTTATAAAATATATGAATAAGCAGGATAATCTGATAATATTCACAATAAAATGAAGATAAGCAGAAAGAAATGGAAAATTACAATATGGTAAAAGAAGACAAAAGGAAAAAGGAAAAAATTATTATATTGTAAATTTTGAGACATATATTGTTATATTGAATATTTGTAAGATGATGTTCTGTAGTTGTAAATTACTGTTCCTCCAGCACATTATATTGCAGTAAATTGTGGACAATTGTGTGTTAATTACAAATAAATAAATAAATAATAATTTCAATTGGTTGTTATTCAATTGTGTGTTCTACAGTTTCAAATGTCAAGTCATGGCCTACTCAGCATGTAGTATCTGCACACTTGAGAGGGACTCTGGAGAAGTCACCAAGATGTCCCAAAATACAAAACTTTAACAATTTTTTTAGTTATTCAATACTTACTTGTATTTACTGAAAAAATTTGGTGGTTCAAAGAGTTTATCCCAATTTGCTTTTCCACTCATAATGTCTTCAGTCATTTGTAAACCCTGTTTAAATTCCTCTTGCATTATAGTTCTAGTGGAAATGGACACATTAAAAGTAGAATTTTGCTGAGGATATGCAGGTGTAATTATTGGCATCAAATGATACCGATCTGAAACATTAACCTGGAAGAAGAAATTATGTGTAATTCAATAATATATGTACAACAATAGATACTATTTATATCCAAATCCTTACCCTTGGATCCCAAACAGGAAAACCTAAATTCACATTATCAGGTGGCTTCAAAAGTACTGGCTGAGGCCACTTCCACTGTGAGAAGACTAGGAAAAACTTTTGCACTAGTGTAGCTGCCACTGCATTGGGATATAATTGGCAAGTGCGAGCAACAAGCATGGCCCAAGACACGCCACCTAAATATCCTAAAGCATTACTGTAGATGCCATGTCCTAAAATGAATTCAAAATTATATTTCAAAATTCATTTAAGAAAAGAAAAAGAAAAGAAAGAAAAGGATATTTTCCTTAATATATTTTTCTTAAAAAGCATTATTTTACAGCCAATCTATGGAAATTGCATGTGATTTGTATGCTAAAACTGACTAGTTACACAACGAATAATACTTCTGTCTACTTGACTGCTCCTGGCCAACAGGGGAGAGGAGGTTCTGTCAGATGACAGGCTTCAAATTGTGAATTGAAAAAATGAAAACACATAGCACGATGAATCTGTTTAAGGGCACCATTACTATTTTGGTTATGCATTGTGTGGGGTTCTGTGTCGATTACTGATGTGTGCTCTTACTGAGGTTTGTTTCTTGCTACTATTGAGATTGATGCAAGCCACATATCCCACACAACCACATATCTACCAAACGAGTAAGTGTCATCATCTCTCTACCCCCATCCCAGTTGGCAAGTAGGCAGAAATATTATTCGGACAATAGTCTACGATTCACAAGCTGTAACCAAGAGTATTCATTAATAGTACAACAACAAAAATTGAAGTTTCTGCAAACACTTTTTACTTTCAAACCTAACTTCTTAAGAAGACAAAGTATTGTAATTATGTGCCAAAAAACAGAATTTTCAATAGAAAAACACTTAATGCCAGCCCCTGGTAAAAAGAGGATCTTTTTACTATATATAGTGAATTACCTCTGCAGATGAAAACCTTTGGTACTATAAATTGAAACCTCAACATTCAAAAATTTCTCAAAAATAGCTTCAAATTTTTTGATAAAACTGACCTTATACAGCATAAAGGGTTCTTAAAAGAATTCGTTAAAATTCATTTTCTTCATTTTCGCTAAAATCCCTGATTGTTAATATCTGAGTAAAACTCCGGTGTTTTCTTAAAACTCATAAATAAATATGTTCTTTAAAGACAAATGTTGAAATAAGATCATGTACAATTTTTTGAAAATACAAGTAGCTTTCGGGATATTTTGTGTTATGTGGAAAACACTTTGGAATTCACTATTATAGAATAATTAACCCGAGAAAAAGAGCACTTCTCTTGAAAACAAAGTTCAAATAATTTTTAAAAAATTTTAATTAATAAATTTTTTAAAAAAAGTTTTAAAAATTCACATTTCCTGCTATTATTTTTCTGCTAAACTTTATAAAATACAAGCAGAGTATAAACTTTTCAACGTAACTGTAAATACTGCAACAACCCTGCACAAACAATCAGAAGTCCCCCCATGAACTTCAAAATGAAAACTACAGAATTCCACAAGTTTTCTCCAAACTCAATTTTAAATTTCAGGTATTAGCACTAATTTTAGTTCTAATATAATTTTGCTTTTGTTGATGCACAGAGAGTTAAGAGATATTTTCGTACGAATACCAAAATATACTAATTAACAATACTTGCTTCAAGTCCTTCCTTACCCTCAGCTACTGAATGATCTGATACCCAGATAGACTGATTTTCCATTGTTAGCAAAGGCTCTAGCTGGATAAGTTGGTACAAAGTGCCCCTGCTTGAAATCGAAAAGTAAACCCTTTCCTGAGAATTGTGACCACGAAAAACATTTTTTTTCTTAAAGTTTTAGATTCCTCCTCCTGCACATCCTTCGCAATCACGAAAAATGTGTTTTTTAATTGTTTATTTTTTTCACTGAATTGGCCATATGAATTTCTTTTGAAAATAATGATTTTTTATGTGAAATTAACTCAATTTTTCAAAAACTATTTTTATATTTTTTTATTTGCCATCAAATTTAAAGTTTTAAATGGATTTTAAAATATTGAAACATTTTTAAAGCAGGCTTTAATTCCACAGGTGCAGGAGAAAATTCTCAAATGTTGCTCTAAAAATCAGCTCTTTTCATGGAATTTTTTCAGACTTCTCTGATTGGTGCACTGTGTTTAAAAAAATTAATATACACATTTTTTCCCATTACTTGCATGTATATAGAAGTGTACAGAGATATCTAGAGCAAGTCCAATATTTTTCTAGCAGCAATATTTGAATTATTAAAACGTCAATATAGTAGTTAACCCAACAAGGAAAGGTGTACTTTTCAATTTCGAGCAGAGGCACTTTTTACTAACTTATCCAGTTTGAGCCTTTAATGTGAAAAGCTTTCACTGATCATATAGGATGCCTACCAACAGCAAAGACTTGCATATCAAGGAAAGTAGTCGTGTTAAGCTACAGCTTAAGTAAGTGTGATGGTCCATGGTAATTCTAAATGTATGTATTAATCGAAAGATTTGAGGAAATAAAATTTCAAGTTAAACTTTGTGCAAACTTGAGGAGCCTTCTTCTCTTCAGTGTAAGGCATTTCTTTCAACTTTAACAATATGGCACTGGACTTCTGGCTACACCCACATCTACACAAGTTATACATTTCACTGCTTGTGCCTGCCTTATCATCAATGTTGAATGTGTTTCTAACACACATTCTGACACAGATTCACTGTGCCTACACTCTGCACCAGTGTTTAAAACAAAACATTACTTCACTGATTTTTTGACATTATTTCACAGGCTTGCATGTAATTCAAATTGCACGTCCCATGGGATCCAGAGTATTTGGGAGGACCTCTGCAATTGACATTGGCCTGCGCTCATGGATTGGGTTGTTCATTTACTGTACAGTGGTGCCCATCACAAACCAGCAGTATGCCCCAGAAAACACAAACCTTTAGAATTGAATTTGGGACAAGTGACTGACCAACTTGGGATGCATACGCAAGAAAAATGAAACATATTTATAATTTTCAAATATAAATATTGTGCTTACAAAGTGACAGGATAGTAGTAGTTCCCAAACATCCACTGAAGCTACACCCTTGGAGCCCACTGGACAGCTCAATCAGTCTTCCCTGTGTTCTCTAGCGCAATTTCTGATTTCTTTGCTTTAATTGAGAGGATTAGGCCTTTTCAAGTGTTCATCAAAATAAAAATGTGATATTAAATAAAAAGAAGACTACACACCAGTCACAAAATTTCTTTAATCCTGTTGTAATAGTGAGGGGGAAATTCTTAGTGATATTCCCATTATTTACCTTAAAGAAGTCGTACAATTGTTTTTCCCAATTGTAGTTTGCTGACCATATCAGAAATCATTCAACTGATAATACCATATTTACTTGAATATAAGTTGACTGAAAATAAGGTGAGCCTTTAATTTTGATGATACCTACTGGGAATTTTTAAAATTTTGAAGTAATTCTTTCCATTTAGTCAAAACAAATTGCAAATTTTATATAGTGTAATTGACTAGTCTTTTCAATGAGAAAGTTAAAACCATTTGCCTGAGCCATCACTATTTTCTTCTTCCTTAAGATATATTCAATTGACCATGGTGAAGTACCCCCTGAAAATATTTAAATGAGAGTAAAATCTCTTATTTGGCCCTTGCCATCCTATTTTTTTTTAATAAAATGAGTTTTCAAATGGAACAAGCTATTATGGAAAAACTTTTCAAAGCGTAGATTTTAATAAGTATTGAAAACGTTATAAGAAGGTACCTTTCTCTTTTATTCAATATGTAGTCAATTTTTGGAGGAACCACATGAGATATAACATACCTCACCAGGTATTTTGAATAGTAATGGATGAAAAACTGCTGCGAAATTCATCTCACTGGAAGTACTGGCTCTCAGCCTAGGAGTTATTTTGATCAAATCATGCTATTGTCAGCATAGATTCTCTTGGGGGATGATAGAAAATCATCCCTAAATTAAAATGTTGTGCCACACATTGTTGACAATTTACCCTCGATGTAAACAATGTGGACTAAAAAGCAGAAAGAAAGAAAAGCACGGGAGCCAAAGTCAACCTAACCTATATTATGTTTTGACAACTTATGAAAATGAGAAGTCAAGCAGAAGACTTAAGAGTTAATAATAAACATTGTTTACTAGAACAACAATTTAATACTTCTTTTTGAAATATTAACAAACAATATTTTAAATACTCTGTTTTTAGTAATAAAGTTTACAATACTCTGCTGTAATAAAGTTTACAAGCAGCTAATGCTAGTCTGTAGAGGTAATAAATGGTTGAGTACAAGACTAGCAATTAGCATAAACATACTACCTTAAATTTGTCATATTAATGTTCTTTGTCACTTCCCTCGACATCTTCACATTTATCATTATTTCTTTCTTTTTGGTCTTCTTTCCATTCTGTGTTGGACGTTTTAGGGTACTAATTTTCTGCATTGAATTTGTGACCTTAATCCTTAATTTCTATATTTCTTTCATAATTTTTAATTAAATAGATTATACTTGAAATTCGCAACATTTAATTTGATCGAGTTGTGAATTGTGACTTTCGTTATCTCTCTTCTTCCATTTTGTAAGTAACATGGAAAATAGCAACACGTTTGGGAAGCTTTTGCTAAAAAAGTATTGTCTTGAACATCCCTTTCCATGATTGAATGCAAAATGCTTACTTCTATCCATTTGAATTTTTTCAATACCATTACTTGTAAAACACAGTTTCACCCTTGCTAGGCATCGAACCCACAGTCCCTGCAGCCTTGTTGATTTGCACATCACATAACAAAATCATTGCAATAACTTTTAGTTATTTTCACTTTGCGTTTCACTTCATATAATGACAATTATTTCACTTTCTCTCTTAGCCAGCCCATTAAAAACTATCAGTCAATCACCTGGCAAATTCGTGGAGGATGCAGAGACATGTGATATTTTTATCATCTCCACAACTTATTGTTATGTCTACATTTACAGGTTTCATGATAAGGAAAGGCAATGTAAAATCATAAAGCCAAACTGACTAAGTTTAATCTGCAAATATAGGATGACCCCATATTTTTCAAATGAAATTTAGGGAGTGGGGATTACTCTTATATTTGAGTAAATACAGTTTTCAGGTTTATTGGGTTGCCAAGTGCTTCTTTTATTGACACTTGTAGACCTAAATACAGCGAAACCTCTTTAAGCCAAGTAAGTGATTAACACCTTAAACCTGATCTTTTAAGAAGGGTGATTTCTTAAAAGGAAAAATTGTACTGATAAACTAATACAAACTATATTCCCCACTTACAACACGTTATAAAATTACTCAGATTTCAAACTCATTTTAGATAACTTTACGTGATGTTGCAATTGTGTAACATTACAATGAAAGTTGCATTTTTATGTACACAAAATAGTGCAACATAGATAAAAGAATTGACTCTATTCAGGTAATGCATTATCGACATATTAACTATTTTTTCTAACAATTGCTGACCAAAACACTTTACTCCTATGTCACAGCAGACAGATCTACTAGTTTCTAATTACCATATTCTCAAGCAAAGGACTGCTACTTGCAATTATTCGCAGTGCCTCTTAGAATCAATTGTTTTTGTAATCAAGGAGTAATGTTTTGCTTCAGTACAATGATCATTCAATGTCTTAATAAGAAAGGTTCTGTACCTCTCCTAGAAATCTCACTGCAGTTATCATGGAATCTCATCACCATGTGACCGATAGTTGTTGTTTATCTGAGACATGCCAGAAATTATTTGGCTTACAACAGAATGCAATGACTGATATCTGATTTCAGTGTGAAGTTTTCTAGTTATCTTTAAACAAATAAAATGTTACATTATGACAAAAATTCATGTCATCTGTCTGAAAGGGGGGTAGTCATCTATGGGGATAAAAATATATTGATCTAAAGAAATAATGAATATGATCCGCAGAAAAAATGGACATGAAATGTAGGATCTCTTGAAGGAGGTCGTTTCTGTTAAGAGGTTTCACTAAATCTAGTCCTATAAAAAAGGAATTAATCTTTACAGAAGTGAAATTCTGACAAATAATCAGGGATTTATGAACTGTAAGATCATATATTAATAATACTTTTTAATGTGCTGTAAACTATTTAATTTTTTTTTAATCAATTTCAAAACAAGTGGATAGATCTTGTCTTGTAGAAATTGCAAGATCTCAGTAAAGGAAAAAATACAAACAGTTAAAATACAAGTACACTTAGCATTACATACAATTCATATTTACTTACGTTTGGCCCACAATTTTATAGCCCTCAAGGCTAGGCGAAAACTCTCAATGTTGGGAACAAGTCTCAAAATTTCATCTGTCACACGACAACCATTCAAACTTCGTACACACTTCTGATCAAGATTTTTCAATAGATTGTCATCTCTCAAGTCCTGAAAAGAAAGCATTACACACAAATCAAGACAAATTTCTTATTATATTCTTCTAAAAATTTCTTTTATTTATTTATTTATTTATTTTCCCTACATAATTATATAATAAATACTTACCATAGTGTCAGGAATTTCTTTCAAAGCCAATCTTGCAAACAGCATATCTATCTCAATTCCATCAAAATTCATTTTAATAACAGGAACAAAGGCCTCTTCCACAGCCTGTAAAAGAGTGTCTGGCATTATATTTGTAATTATTTCTCAAATATATCATAATAAATATGCTAATTACTTACACGTAGATCAGTCACTTCTCTTTGCTGCTTCAGAAGATCAAAGAAAGATGTAAAATAATCAGATCGATCAATGTGTCTAGGTGCTACACACAAAGCATCAATGTCGGCACCTTTGTGATGGACACCCAAACGATATGATCCAAATGTGTAAATTTTACCACCAACTTGTTCTGCCACATTCAGAGGCATATTGCGTTTTACACTTGCATCACAAATCCATTCTTTCACTAAAGAATTCAATTTACTTAAAATTTCCATCCTAATTGAATAAAACAAAAATAATAACAATTGAAGTTTAAATCACAATTCAAGCGAACTCAAAAATATCTTAACAGCTGATTACCGATGATTAAGTTCTTCATCAGTTTCAAATACATTGTAAGGCTTAAGGGTTTCTTTCAGTTCTTCTGTTTTTTGGTAGTCAAGAGCTTTTGGCAAAGCTAAGCTAATTGCAGAGGTCATTCCTAGAGTTCGTAATCCTGCCTGTTGTTGATTTTGCTGTTGCAGCTGCAACTGTTGCTGTTGCTGCTGCTGCTGCTGTTGATGCTGCTGCTGTTGTTGCTGAGACTGCAACGCCGATGGCCACATTCTGGAACTACAATAACAGAACTGTCTAACCTCTTCATTCATTTATTTAAGACATACTTCACAATTCACACTTACATGCCTTGCTTCAAACAGAGTCTGTCCAATCATGATAATACCACCAAACAAACTACCATTAACATCCAACCTTCTACAGGAAATATGTTTTCAACAGCATCTGTACGAAATAAAAAATAATTTTCCAAAATCAGCAGCTTCTTCTTACACTAGATTACTTACATTTCGAGTTCTGTCATGCTTATTAAAATGAAAAAGTAATAGGCTTTCAAGAACTATGAAAATGATTTGAAGAGAGCCACTCAAGAACTTGAAATCAAAACTAAACACAATCACCTCCACCAACATTAATTTCCACACAAACCACATATGAACAAAACTGTTATGAAATAAAATAAAAATTAAACAAAATGTGGTAAAATTTGTTTCACATTAACTAGTCAAACGAAAATTCCTCAAAACGTTCAAGAAGATTGTGAACTGTAATTTTCATCGGCTTTTAAAGTAATGAAAACAACCACTTTTAAATCATGCCTCATGTTATTACTGCCACAAGTGTGTCTCAGAACAGCATGACACATAAATATGCCCAAATCGAAAGCGGAATGAAAATTAACCTTTCAATGCTCTCAATTACTGATCTGCAGATGATTAAAACACAATATTAACTTTAAAAATCACTCAAATCATACATAACAAACTACACAATGAGAAAATATGGCGTCAACTAGTTTACGAATCGTATCGATAGTGGTCGACACTGTTTCGAACGAGATATCCAAGAGCTTGGGAAATCCCGTACAAATGAACTTCAACTTACACATCCTTATTTCCGGGTTTTCCATACCCCTGACTGGGTAAGTGGTAAGAAAAATACAAAGAACTATAGTTGATCACACCCTCTGAACACATCGTATGGTTTATTAACTCTTCTTGTAAAATATCTCACTTTAAAACAATATCACTGCATAATATACCAAAATCTGAATAAGACTCGTTCAAAGATTGCACATAGCAACAATAGTGTAGTAGGTGATTATGTAGTAGTACTTGTAATGTTTTCTGCGTCGCCACACAAGTTTTATAATTTTTAAATATTTTTTCGGCGTTCAAGGATAGTCAAATTTCGATCGAGACCTCGATCTCGAAACGAAGAAAAGGCGTCTTTCAGGTCAAGGAAGAGTGTATGGATTGGCACGATTCATGGAATTTGTAGATTGCAATGATCAGATAGAAGCTACTATTTGGCATGATAATGTCAAGGATTATATTAAATCGGAAACAAGCTATTGTTATTTATCTAAGTTTTTATAAATTATCTCATTAAATAATCTAATGAGAGTATTTAGTTGTCGAACGTATTAGCGTGGATGGATGACGTATTAATGAATGGTATAAGTATTATTATCATCGAAAAACATAATATCACGGAAGTATAACTATTTGGAATAATAGAATAAACTTGTCCCATGCAAAGAGTATATATCCCATGTACTCTTTGAATCCTTGATATTAATATTAACCCATATTTTAAATATGGATTTCACAATTATAGTATTTGTTCATTCATTACATATAACACTTTTTGAAAATCACAAGGAATTAATTACAAAATCGAGATAAAGTCCCATTTCATGCTAAGAAAACAAGATCTAAACATTAAATATGAAGGATTTAGAGCAAGGAGGGTTGATTTATTATTGTTTCCTATTTAATAATAATTTAATGGTGACGGTTTAATAAACAAGTTTTCAAGTATGTATGTATGTATGTATATATATATAAAGTTAGCCGTAGGCTAGTAATCTTCCCTTCTCTGTTTATTTAGAGATAAAGCTTAGGAAGGGTTCTTCATCTACCTACAGAGGGAACATACTATAACTAGTGCCATTAATGATTTATTATATATATACATCCCCATACCTGTCTGTAACGTATTCCAGTTCGTCTTCAATCTGTTGCAATACGAATAAAGCAGTTTGTTTCGTAATCCTTAAACGTGCGAAAAATGCGTAGCAGTCCCACTTTCCGAAATTATCCCGTTTGGGCCGCAAACGTTTGAGCCGTCTGGTATTAACGAAATATTCTAACAGCATTTCGTCTTCAGAATCAGTTTCTACATTTATTACATTCGCCATTTCACCTAACCAGCAGTTAATTCAGTGACCCGTATTTCAATCTCCGGTTAACTTAACTTTCCGGTAAACCTCCGGTTTGTCTTTAACGCACGCTCGTAATACGAATTTCGCCCGCTAACGTCCGGTTAACTTTAACTGGAACTTTAACTGATGGTGGTAATACAGGGCCAGTGGTGTAAGAGATTTTTTGACACTCATTGACGCCAAACCAAATTGAGGGCCGTGGTCAGTAATTAACACGTAGAAACGATTTACATTTATTTCTCAAATGTTGACGAAGTTTCACGTGTGTCGTTTAGCACTTCATTCACGATGTCATTTTCAAGTTGTTCACATAGGGAGAAACGCATTGGATGAGATAATACTTTAGACAAGAAAAACTATTATACGTGATTTGCTGAGCGACCGTGATTTGTTTAAAAAATTTACGAGAATGTCTTCTGGCGATTTCTCATTTGTAGTGGAACCTTTGAAAGGAAGTATTTGGAGACAAAATAGGCGATGAGAAGTGCAATTCCAGCAGAAATAAGGCGCTGATACCGCTGCGCACTCGCGACAGACCAACAAGTGCAAAGAGTATTGTAAGGCAAGAATAGTAGGATTTACTCAGAGCTTCTTTTGAAGTAAATCAGCGGTTGACGGTGGGAGGACGGACGTATGGTGACGTTCAAGCTCCCGATTGGATGAATTCGTCAACAGCTGATTTACTTCAAACGCAATGAATAAATGCAAGTATAGACAGTAGGAGGGCGTTTCACTTGTGGGTAGTTAGGAATTCGATCATTAATGCTTTCACTATTATCTTCATTGCAGTATTAATTTTCTTTGCATATATATATCTTTGCATATAGACAACCAGTAGTGCTATAACAGAAGCATATATCTGAATAGTTATTGTATTAGTAGTGGCATATAATGGCACAGACTCTCTCGCACTCATAAGTATAGCTTCTCGATATTGCCACACTATTATTACTAGCGATTATGGTGGAGGTCAAGTAAAACTACAGGTAGATTCTACTCAAGTATACAGATTGCGTTTATTGGTTAAAGACTGGTTTTATTCTGATTAAAAACGTAATAGAAAATTCGTATTGTTCCTTGTTGTTGGTGTGTTATATTCCTAGTATTTCAAGGGCAAGTCATTAAATAACACGTAAAATTACATTGAACCAATGTCTTAATCTTACATTTGGCCCATATCAAACATATTTGATATGCACCAACTGCATTCTTATAGTTCATCTCTAATCGATTTATTTGTTGGCTTATATCAAAAACAAACTGAAAATGTTCACATTCTCATTTTAATTAAATCTTCGAATACACTACATTTCGAAAATTTTGATATATTGTCTTCAGGCTATGAAGCAAATATATTACTATAAGAGATGAAAAATACTACATAAAGGTGGCAATAACAAAAAAATGAATTCTTATACTTTTACAGTTAACATAATAACAATGCGTGTTCGAAAGGGCGCACTGTTCTGCAATTAAATGCAGCAATAATAAAGGAAAGAACCCTGAGTAATGTTTTTTACTTGTCTAAACGACGTACAAAGGAAAGATAGAAATTTGTTATTACATCATACGAGTACATACACATATTTACTACTTACATTACTAGATATTTTCATTAACAGTATAAGAATATTTGCTCTTCCTCATGATTCCACTATT